CCTGCAAGCAGAGCCTTTTTAACCCGTCCCAGAATCCCTTGGAGGGTTAAAAAGAAGAAAAGAAGAAGAAAAGAAGAAAAGGCTCTGCTCGCAGGGTAGCAAATAAGCAAAAAATTTGAAGTGGTAAATGCTTTAGGCAAATAATTTAGGCTATAAAAGAGCAAGACGGGTGAAACTAGGTCCTATTCTGTCGGTAATGTTATGCTGTTGGCAACTTAAGATTACTTTAAAAGATGATGACAGATATTTTCTTGACTTGTCACGACCACTGTAGCTGCCAGCAAATTCAGGTTTCAACTCGCGAACGCTTTAAAATTTATTTACATTACGGTTGATCGTGGTTGTTATAAGGAACAATATAATTACAAGTTATTACAAAATACAATTAGAAGGAAGAGAAAAACGCTAAAAACGGAGGAAATCCAATCGGACAAGGAAAGACGCTTTATACAAACGTTGTATGACTTGTGAATACGAAGGACGGAAAAACTTAGAGTTGAATGTGGTAAAGAAACGATGTTAACTTGACGGACTCTGATACTCCAAATGTTCAATTTTACCCAGACACTTATACAAATGAAATTAAACAAAGCAAAATTATACGAAAAACCTAAGAGAATATAAATCACCTTGAGTGAAAAGAATGCGAAAACAATAAGAAAAATGTGCGTGCAAAACACACAAAAATGTAATTGAGATAGTTGAAAAAAAAAGAAACGTTCAATGGGAATTCCAAATAGGAGACTGGGTGCATTTTAAGATGGGCAACTCAGTCACGTTCACGGTAATGGTTCAGAAAATAAACCACTAACATTATATTTTCCTTTTTTATCTAGCCAAATATCCTGAGATCAAGAGACTTATGGGCAGTGATCCTTTATTCAAGTACGAGATCCTTTTTTTGGTAGTGGCTCAGTTCACACTGACTTTTCTCGTGCGTGATGCATGTTGGACTACTCTACTGCTTTCAGCCTACTTCATAGGGGCGTTTCCCAGCCACGCCCTCATCGTTGGGGTGCACGACATCTGCCATAACATCCCATTTGGAAACGGGCGGCCTTTACTCAACAGACTCTTTGGCATTTTAGCGAACCTTCCGACAGGTATTCCCTCTTCAATTGCGTTCAAGAAGTATCACCTCCTCCACCACCGTTACATGGGCGTGGAAGAAATCGATCCCGACCTACCAACAGGTTTTGAAGCTCGAATATTTTACAACTCCATCACCAAACTAGTTTGGGTAATTTTACAACCTTTTTGGTATGCATTAAGGCCTTTAGTCATTAACCCCCTACCCCCGAACGGCTTGGAAATTCTTAACATTGTCGTCCAGTTCGTTGTCAATTGCGCCGTAGTTTACTACTGGGGAGCAAAGTCACTCGTATTCATGGTCAGCAGTACGATCCTTGGAGCAGGCTTACACCCTATGGCGGGCCACTTCATAGCTGAGCATTACATGTTCGAAGAAGGCTTCGAGACGTATTCTTACTACGGCCCTGGAAACTATCTGACATTTAACGTCGGGTATCACAACGAGCATCATGATTTTCCGAGTATCCCAGGTTCAAAGCTCCCTTTTGTAAGGAAGATAGCAGCAGAATATTACGATAACTTACCGTATCACACCTCTTGGATCAAAGTGATATGGGATTTTATAACAGATCCTAGAATTGGCCCTTATGCTAGAGTCAAGAGGCCGAATGCCAAAAAGGCTAAACGAGATGAGCTTCCTGAGTAGTCATCATCTGCAAGCAGGCCCTCGTTTTTAGTCAACCTCGTTCCCAGGGCCTTTTCCCTGACCACCCCCAGGCCCTGGGAACGAAGAGTCTGTAAAGGGTTTGGTACAGATAAGACCCCGGTAAACCTCAACCCAGTCTCGTGCCCAGTCCTTCCGCGGCCCAAGCTACAGGCTAGGCTACTCATCTCAGATCTCCCTTTGGGCGGAAAAAATGCGCGATTTGCAGCGCTAATAATGAAGGCTTGCTTGCAGCCTAAAGCAGTCATTCAAATCCAAATTGTGTAGATCTAAATTTTACATTTTAAATCCAACGAACTTTTTTTCATACCTTCTTTACTTTAAGCACATTTTAATTATGGTAAGGCTGCTTTTCACTATTTTGATCCAGTTTCGCTTCTTTTCTTTAAGCAGTTAGGAACGTTTTGACTCAGCACGGGTTAGTTTTTTAAGAGTGTTTATAAGGAGGCCTCAGAAATTCTCCTCTCTCACGATCCGAAGCAATTTCTCAGTATTCCTGACCCTATCATCCGATCCTGCAGTAATTCAAACCCGCCAATATAATTCGCCCTAAACAAGCTTTGTTTTAATGTCACTTTTGCAAATTTTACATCGTTTTTTTCCCATCGGAATGGATTTTTGGCGTTCCATTTTGGGGGATAAGTTGCTTCTTATAAGCCAGTATTGAGCGGTGTACATTTTCTCTCTAGCTGGGAAAGTCCGTGTTTAAAATCACACTATTCTTAACATGCATTTCAAATTGGAGGACAAGGTTTGAGGGTTTAATTACCTCGGGCGGCCTAACAAAGAATCGTACTTGTGCCTATATCAATCAATGGCGAAATTCACTCTTAACTGCCAGTGCTTTTCACAAGTTTCTGTGGCATGAAGTGACTAGAATTGTGTTTCTTTCTTCTGCATAGATGTTAGTGCGTCAAATTTTATCCCCCTCCCCACCGTTCATGACAATTCGTCAATTCCTATTTGTACCCTTGAATAAAGAGGGAAAGCCCGAAAGTCATCTCGCCCGAAGTCATCTCGCCCGAAAGTCATCTCGCCCGAAGTCATCTCGCCCGAAAGTCATCTCGCCCGAAGTCATCTTTTCCGAAAGTCATCTCGCCCGAAGTCATGTTGCCCGAAACTCATAGTCATGTTGCCCGATATTTTGAGTCATGTCGCCCGCACTTTTATCGAGTGTTTAAACTTGAAGAAAAGTAACATCTCAAGTAAATCGTAAGGAATAAACTCGTGAAATGTTGACTCGTAAACTGTTTTGGTCCGCTAACCTACAAGAGACTCAAATACCGCTGTTCATTTCAGCGTTGTTCGTTGCTCTGAACTGAACTGCTCATTCTACTGTACAGATTCTAGTAATTATAAGCGGAACACTGTCAGTAAACTTTTCAGTAAAGAAAAGTAATATCTTAAGTAAATTGTAAGGAATAAACTCGTAAAATGTTGACTCGTTAACTGTTTTCGTCCCCTAACCTATGCAAATAAGAAGCTAAGTTACTGAGAAAGACTCAAATATCGCTGTTCATTTCAGCGTTGTTCGTTGCTATGAACTAAACTGATCATTCTACAGCACAGATTTTAGTAATTATAAGCGGAACACTTTCAGTTATCGGAATTTTTCACACATATCAAAAAAATACATCAAGTTCTCTTAGTTTGATTTATCGTATAAAAAACAACCTAAAACTTTTACAACGTTTTTTTGTTGTTTGTTGTTAACCACGCGAACAAAGTGTGTTAGCATCATTCCGCCTTGGATCAGACGCGGCATAAATTATCGCGACTTGTTCAGTCGTTCCTTGTTTCCTCAGTCGAATGTAAATTTAAGATCCGGTTTACCATATACAAAGAGAGTAAATTAATAACAGCCACCTCATTTCGACTTGTAAAATCATCCGCTAACCTATACAAATAAGAAGTTAAAGAAAGACGCACATATCGCTATTCTACACCACAGATTCCTGTAATTATAAGCGGAACACTTTAAATGATCAGAATTTTTCACATATATCAGAAAAATACATCAAGTTCTCTTAGTTTGAGTTTGCCGCAAGGTCACAATCTTGCTTGGCAACCATGTGATGATTCTTGAGCACGTGCTGTATTTAAGATGGCGGCGTTTTCCAATGTTCCAATCGTAGTGATGTGAACCTTCGTTTGAAACAGAATGCTTCCATATATAAAACAACAACAGTGAAAACCATACGGTAACTGATATTATTATTATTATTTTTTTTTTTTCATTTTCGTGTTTTATTTTTAGGATTACTCTCTCCGTGATATCAAACGACAGCGAAACGAACAACCTGAGTTTCACGAGTCAACATTTTACGAGTTTATATCTTGCCATTTATTTAAGATGTTACTCTTCTTCAAGTTTAAACACATCGATAAAATTTGGGGCGACATGACTTAGGATTTCGGGCGACATGACTATGAATTTCGGGCAACAAGACTCTAGTTTCGGGCGACATGACTTCGGACGAGATGACTTTTGGGCGACTTGACCGTAAACCCCACAGTAGAGGGGAGAAGACAAAACGCGGAGCCCTACTCCATGGAGTACCCTATGGAGTACCTTAATGGAGTACCCCTAAAAGTCATGTATTGATCAAATAAAATATCTTATAAACATGGTAAATATCCTAAAATATTTTGAGCTTACCGGCTCTCCGAATGTCACACTTCGATACAATCCAGTTTTTTGGGGGACAGGTGGCTAGGGCTCTCAGTTTTAGGGGTTCCTCCATTTAGGTTTTACCGCAGTGTAATGAGTCCTTCGATAGGAAGACAAATAATTCCATGTGATGAACAAAGCCCACTGTTTCGAGTTCTGCACGAGGTAAAATATTTAAGCTTACTACATTTCCCAAATCAACGGCCCCGGTCGGATTTATTTGCCGACCCGTCACTGTTTTTTTTTTTTTTTTTTTTTTTTGGTTTGTTTACATACCTCAATTTTATTACGCTACAAATAGTTGGGTGAGGAGAAGCTCAGTTTAAAGATATGGATTACCTTTTTTAAGTCTCAACCTTCAAATGTAAGCTTGTATCCTCATGGCTTCGCTCAATTAAGAAACCCATGAGGCCTTGTGTATTAAATGGAGCGTTACACCTCTTACAGACGCCACACAAACAGGTATTTGGAAAGACGTAAAACCCGTTGCAGAATAAAGGATGTCCGTCCTTTTGGCCTCTTGAAGATCATATGAAAATAGATAGAAGTCGGCCTATTAACGATGACGTTCATGGATGCTAGCTACATTAAAGCTTTCCGTTGGAAGTGGTGAGCGAGTGAGCGCAGCGAACGAGTGAGAGATACTTTCAGCACGAGAAGATAAAATTCGTATCCCCAAGCGGCCATATAATGTTCTGTTTATTATATAGATACTGATGAAATTTTCGCATAAAAGACAACTTTTTTTATTCATTTTCGAAACAGCAATTGGGTCATTATGTAGGTAACCATGGCCACACCAATATCCTCACACGTGAAAGATGAAAATAGTATCTTCACTGCGCGCGGTGAAGATATGATTTTTTAGTAAAAGGAGAAATCCTGGTATTTCATCAGTATCTATATAATAATGTTAATTTCAAGATGGCGGTCAATTCGTGTACTACATCGAACTGTGACAATCGGAGAGCTGACAAGCTCAAAATATATGATATGTACATCTAAACGATTCACTATGTTCATAAAGTATTTTATTTGACTAATAAATGACTTTTAGGGGCACTCCATAGGGTACTCCATGGAGTAGGGCTCCGCGTTTTGTCATTTCCCATCGTAGAGTACAAATAACACGCGAGACGAGTACAAGTACGATATTTGTACTCCAGAAATATCCGCGAAATTCGTCCGTTACGAAATAACAATCTGGCGTGTTGGATGATAAATATCTTATTTGACGTTTTGTTGTTTAGTATCGCTGAGTATTTTTACTCGTTGTTTGTATTTTGACTCGCCCTACAGGCTCGTCAAAATACTAATAAGATATTTAGTAAATAAACCCCTTCGGGCGGCTGGTATGTCGGCTGATAATGTCCGCGGCTGAGAGATTGTCCGAAAAATGAATATTTGGCCGAGAAACGAAGCTTCGAGGGAAAATATGAAATTTTAGGACAATCTCTCAGCCAAGGACATTATTAGCCGACATGCCAGCAAACCAGAACGGGGTTTATTTACTTTGTAACTCTCCCATTAATTTTCACATCGCAATTAAACTGCGCGTAAACACGGTAAAAAAGCCAGTGGTGATCTGATGGCGAATACGCGTGATTGATGCAGGCAAGCAAAAAAAAAAAACAGTTTGGTTTCCTTCTATGTAAATAGGAAAACGGAAAAAATTGGAGGACAAATATCGATGCGGTCGGGGGCTATTGCGTGATAACTGTCCTNNNGCGACTCTTACGCTTCTTTCGTGCTTAGCAACCTCCCGCGTGCATCCATAACTCAATAGTGTACGCTGTGGTGTTTACCATTTGTTAAATATATTGTTCTGTCGGAGAACACAGTACTGACCCAGCTGAAGCTCGAACTGAACCTCTTCAGTCTAGAGTCAACCACAACACAGGCAGCCCAAGCTCACTACTAGAAAAGCGGACGTGACTCTTACGCTCTTCGCTCCGACGAAGGGCTAACGCTCGAAACGTCAGCTTTTGTAATCGTTACGGTGGCCAATTTACCATTTCAACTTTGTTCATATATCCAAATTATGACTCTTACAGTGTTGCGCAACGTTTTATATTTATAAAGGTTTGTATGGGATGTTATCGGTTTGCCTTAAAAGAGAAAAAAAAATGTCTTGTTTTGAAATAAAATGGACTTACCTCATTGCCTTGTTGTTTTCTTTGTTGATTACCAGCGTCTCAGGCCATTTTGAGGCGTTACAAACCTTTTTAAATATAAAACGTTGCGCAACATGGTAAGAGTCACGTCCGCATTCCTAGCAGTGAGCTTGGACTGCCTGTGACCACAAGGGCCTTGTCTCCCGTGAAACTGGTTCACAAGAATTTTAAGACACTGGGTTAGAGTGTAGCAACAAGAGAGCTGAGCAAATTGGTTTCAACGGGAAATTAAATTCAAAGGAAAGTCGATGCTAAGTTTAAAAAATTCATATTTATTGAATATATGGTTTCTCTTTGCGATCTGATACGCATTTCCAGTATTTTTGGCTCTATCTCGCACTATAAAGTAAAGAAGCAAGAAATAAAAATTCGTAGAAACTCAAAAGTAAAACGAAGCAAACTGCCAGAAGCGTGGTAAAAGGGAACTGACTACGGCGCGTTCGGCTTTCGTCTTGCATCTGATTGGCCAAGAGCCTGGCGCGAGTACCTTGGATCAATCAACTACTCTATAAGATTCTCTGTAACAATTAACGTGAACTAAAGAATCATACAGCAGTTTAAAAGCGGCTTTTTCATTAAATCATTGTAAGCAAGAGTCAAGATGCTGATTAATCTTGCTATTTGAAATTAATGTTCGGCACACAGGACATTGTACTGTATCAGATGAGTTCGAATGGTCACTGTGTGAACTTTTACCTTCTCTCACAGATGAACCAGGGGAATCTGGTGTTAACTCAATTGGCTTCTGCTGGGATCCCAAAACTGGTCTAGTCACATTATTATTACTGCTTTTGCAACTCTTGTTTTTATCCTTAGCTCTTTGAAAAGCATCCACAATTGTGAAGGTTGGTGAAGAGCTTGTTTTAGTTTTACTTGGTGACGGTGTTTTAATCTCGATAAAAGCCGGTTTCTTAGATTCCGTAGTAGATGTCTTTGAGTCCTTTTGGTTTGACAAAGTTCCCGTCTTATAGTTCTGATCATCAGAGCTTGAGCCTAACGTTCTGCCAGGTCCAGAGAATGGTATCACGTCTGCATTCCACCTTGATGAGCCTGGCTGGTGAACCTTTGATTTCATGTCTTCATTATGAACTGATAAAGCAACATCACTATCACCACCAAGGCTTTTCTTTTTCCGTTTCACCATCTCTTGGTCATGTTCAGAATTACTTCTATTATCATCACTGTCTCTTGTTTTGCGTTTAAAAAATCTCGGCAATGTTCCAGAAATACCTCCACCAAGTACATGTCCCTTGGTCTTGGTTGCTCCTGCTTCTATTTCTCTTCTTCCCTGTTTTGCTTTACCAGATTTTTTTGCACCATAATTTTCTGGCTCTTTAATTTTCGTGTAGGTCCCACCACATGTTCGCTGATGGTCTGTCCACCAAGTGTCTCTTGGGGATGGAGCTCTATTCATCGCTCTCCTAACAATCCCATAATAAGGTGGTCTCCTGCGGCAAGGTCCACTGCACTGCCACCAGTGTTGACGGTATACATTTACCTGAAAAGAGTGGGACACCATTCTTTCACATTTTAAATAAATAGTTCTCTTTAAATCATTTATGTGGCAGTAGTAACCTTAGTGGTTAATCACTGTGGTGTGTTCATCCTCTGTGTATCATCCCTGATTTGTCCTTCTCTAACTCTTGCTGACAGTTTGTACTCAGGTTTTATATACTGATAATCATAATGGATCAAAACTAATAACGATCCTCAAATTGATTCTTTATCAACAGCCTGATTTGAGCTCTTTTCAGACAAAGCTGGTGTCATTCTAGCAACTGGACAGTATAGTACGAAAGAAAAATTCTGTCTGTAATCATTCTTGTGATTCATAAATCTGTGAGCTCACAGTCACCCCATCCTGTTTAAGGTACAATTCCCAATTGAACTGGACTCCAATCAGTCCTTTGGCTATGAATTAACACAGCTCATGAAGCTCACTACAAAACATCTCTTCAAGATTTTTCCTTGCCACAGCTTTTTCTCTACACCTAACCACCTGTCTGATACATCACCTGAGTAAACTGCTGCTGAATACTAACCTCATCATGAAAATTATGATACACCTGCAACAAAAAAGGCAAAAAAAGAGGGTTTATTGGTTGATTGGTAGGTTGAAAGTTGATTATCACTGAAATTTTCAGTTACATGCAAACAATGAAGTTGTACAATAATCATGTTTTTCTCATTGCCATCAATTAAGTTGCAGACCTCATGAAAAACACATGCATTGTTTCAGAGGGTTCAACAAGATTCTTTCCTGAATTGTGATTGGAGGATATTGATCCTTATGTACACTTTTCTGTACTCAGTAACAATGGTTTGTGTACTATACATGGGTATTGTCTATGTCACTGAAACAGCTCTCTCTTGACAACTAGAAATACTCATTCACGATCCTTAATCATTCCACTCAGGTGCTGGCAAGAGTAATTTAATGGTGAAACATTCCCACTGCTGCAAGGTGGGGATCACTGAAAAAAATACTTACAGTTATGTTTGCTCCACTTTCTGCATTTATCCTATGCATGTGTTTATGGAACTCTGGTCCATGACTATCATGATCCTGAGGGCAGCAACAATAGAAGCGACTTTGAAATTTTTTTTTGATGAAACATAACATAACGAAACTAACCAGCACTCTCACTGGACCAGTGGAGAGGCGACAAGTTGTAAACTTTCAGATTTACTGCGATTTAGAGAACACTGGTTGAACTGATAATGATTGAATAAATGAAACAATAACCATATAACATATCCTGTTCTTCAGTCACCTCCACTAGAAAATATCATCTTGAACAATGTCTTTTGAATATTGTTCTGTTTGATAAGCCCCCTTGTCAAAGCAGTCAGCCTGACAGTTTTCTTTGGAAAGGAAATTTGTTGAGAAAAGCTATTCATATTCTTCTATCTACACTGTGAAAGAACACTTGCTGTTGCAAGGAGATTGTACATTTTCCTTTTTGTTCTCTCCATTTCTAATAGAATTGAGGGGGTTCTTAAAGAAATGTTGATTCAACTTCACAAATACTTAAAAATGACCTAAAATCTGCTTTTAAATAGAGAAGAATTCATTGAGGGTGTGATACAGCTAAAGACAAAAGACTGAATTTTACTTTCACCTATAATAATCAATCAATTGCAAGCACAAAAGAGGTGTTTGAAGCTATAATTAATTACCAGAGGCAACTAACCTTGTTATTTTGTGTCACAAACAACAAAGCATGGATCATCTCATGCTAGAAAAAAAAATACAAATGTTATAGATTAAAGAAATACAGGGGAAAGCTTTACTGAAAAAAAAAAAAAAAGATGCATAACATGTTTATTAGAACAGCAGTGATTTCATGAATGTTTTCAGCCGGAGGGCAACTGGGTTTTCACAGGTGGGCAAAACTTTTTGAACTGAACTTCTTTATAAGATAAACTTTTCTCCAGATGGTCAAACCAGATGGACAAAACCGTCCTCACAACCTGTCAATTTGCCCAGTGCCCAGGCCCTTAATGAAACCCCTGGAACAGGAGCGATTAATTCACATTTCTTGTCTACAATTCTTTAATTCTGAAACCTTGACAACCTAAAAACAATCCTCCATTCAGTTGACATTAAGTGAAGCAAGTAAAGGTAACGATAGTTTCTTAGAGTTTTACTAGAACTATCAATTACAAAATATAATCGTTATGATAACTTACCAGTAATGTTTGCACCAAGTCTTTTCTTGGACGCAGCTTGAGTAAAGGTGAACTGAGCCTGATAGAACACAATCCCCCTCTGCCTTCATAACAGCATAATCCAGCGCATCTGACATGTAAACAGCAGGTCAATTCTAAATACATTGTCATTTTTCAAAAATTGTAATTCAAAGAAATTAAAAGGTTCATAAAATAACATACTGGTATGTATTAAATGCAAACAGAATTTACAAAACCTGGTAATATAGCTTAGCAATTTCACTCCCAACATCTCATCAGTAATTCTTTGTTTAGCCTGCTATACAATTCTTATAATTTCAGCTTGGAGATTTTGGTATATTGATATTCCTCTAATTAATGCTTTTATTAACCCTCATAACTTGTCTGCTTGATATTGTATTGGTATTTTGACGAGAAATGATATCTTGGCCACTACAGGTAGTTTAAGGGTTAAATGTATCGCCAAATTTTTCAGAAAAATGTTTTGACAATATACAATACTACTGGAAGAACTCCCACTTACAACGTCATCCGTGGACTCCACTTCACTTCTACAGATGCCAAAATTCCTTTAAAGTAAGCATCATTAAATTGAAGAAATAATTGCCGTATGTCCGGTATAGGATCAATAAGTTCCCAAGATTCATCCACAACTGACACTGGTCTAGAAATAGCGTTCTTGCGGGAATTGGAAAGAACCAACGAATTGTGGGTTGAAGCTTCGTTCTCCTGTTCTTGATCGAGCTCTCCTTGTAAGCTTAGGGCATAGGCTAAATCGGCATCCTCAGATACGTCGATCATTGGAAAACCGGTGGAATTTTCCGCCAAATTATTTGAAAATGACTTTTACTCAACTATGGCGTTCATAACTTATCTACTTGTGTACTCGAGCCAGTCTCTCGCGTTTCTACCGGGAAAAACTGGTACTCAAGCAAAAACAAAATGGCGTCGTCAGCCGGTCGTACTTTACGAGGCGCTTCTCGCTTAATTTTACAGGTAAATTCGCTATGATGATTCCTTGTATGACGCGTATATATTAAAAATTTGTTTCTCTTTTAAGGCTGCAAGTTCACAGTGTGGACGGATTGCGTCACAAGGTATGTGTCCTGATAGTAAATCGGAGAAAATATTGTGCACGTGTGTAAATCCATCAAACCAGCAACTTTCTTAATAGTTCTATAATTTTTAATCAATTTTGTGATCTGATGTTTTTAGCTGGAAGCCCAAAACTACAGACAGTGCGGGCTCTTCATCAAGCTACAGGAATAAGTTTGTGAGTACATGTTGGTGTAATTATATTTCAGCAATAGTTTGCGTTGCTTTATCAACATTTGTACAGCCAATCAGCCAAGATCACTTATGAATGGCTCTTGTTCTCTTCTCTTCTTAACTTTACTCCATGTTCCTGCCTTCCCTAGAATACAGAAAGAAAACATTTCCATTCTACGAGGTCCACAAACACAAGACTCTCCATTGTCCGTCGTGTACAGAGAATGCTTCCATCTACATTTATTGGAGCAACAAGTTGCATAACATAATGAAGCACGCTATTCTTACACTTGAGTAAAAGTTAGTTCGAGCAAACTTGTTGACAGATGAAGAACTACAAAAGAAGACCTAGTTTTGAAAGTCTAGTGCCAGTTCCCTCACTCCTTGAAAAGCTGTTAACTCAGCCCCATTTGAAACTCTTATCCCTCTGACTTTGGGTCAACAATGCTGTATCGGGCAGATGTTGGTAAGAGTCCCTGGGATATGGAATCAAAACAGCTTTCACATTATGCAGTTTATCACCGGTATGTTCAATTTCTTGGGTAAAATGCATTCTTTGTTTCAGAGTGAAGCAAGCCCAGACGAATTTTTCTGCTAGCATATCAAGGACAGCCTCTGCTTGTGTTATGATGAGTACAGGTCAGTCTAGATGGTAGTTTGGTTTTTGTAGGTTTTTGTTATATTTAGGTTCTTAGTTACCAGTTAGGATGAAACAAATGATATTCCCCTTTCCAGGGTATAAAGAATCACAACTGAAATTAGAAGAATTAAATTTGACTATCTTTGGTAGTCTGCCTTACAAAATGTATGTTATACATAAGACAGCTGAGAATAGCCAAAAGAGCTTGCATTTGCACAAAAGGTTTATTTTCAGTTTTTCAGTGGGTATGCATTTCAAGTATCAAAGCTGTCTCAAAGTTACAGAATATCTTCTAAATGTCACATTGTTTCACTTATTTTTATTTGTCTTTGAGATATAATGTATGATTGCACTTATTGAATACCATCTCCTTAAAGTTTATGTACAAATACCAGTGGCGAATCCAGACCTTGAGCTGAGGGGAGGGGGGAGTGGGTGGCATTTATGTTTGTGTGTACTCACCTGCTGGCTTTTCTTCCCTCTGCATTTATTTTCTTACCCAACATAAGGGAGGGGCCCAGGTCCCCTGTGCCCCTCCCCTAGATCCACCACTGTATACATACCTAGAATCTAGAGAACATTTTGAGTCAACATTGTGAAAACAGGAACCATATTATAAATGGTGAAACAGAGGAAACTAAAATGTGACAAGGATCACAACTGAGGAAACATTCTGAAGACATGGAAACTTTCAGTTGCCAAGTGGCAACTGGCTAACATCTAACAGTTTCATATTTGAGGGAGGGTAGGGTTAGTTTTCTAGACTGATCACAGAGCAATGCAAAGCCCAGTAAATTCATCAGGGATTAACTAAGTCATTTACATGTGATAATTGCTCTTTTGTCAATTCCTATGTGATGTATTAAAAATAATGATAGAAATGATTATTTTTGAAATATTTTGCTAACAGCTTCCCCACTTTCTACCTGTGGATCACTGTTATGCACTGGAAGCAGCTCAGATGCGATGGAAGGTTCTGCAGGAGAAGAAGAGGGGCTAGTGATTGAGGCGGTACAGAAACTTGAGGACTTATAGCATTGGCTTTCCTTACATGCAACAACTGTTGTGTGTAATTCTGTTCATTAGTAACAAATGTATTGTTTTATTGCCATTCCTGGAGACTTCTTGAACTTTGTCATTTTGCAAGGATTTCATAGATACAAACACTTATTAATTTTTTTGAACCAGGGTTGTGCATGCAGATTCAGGAAGTTCTGAAGTGGAATTTCTTTTAAAATGTAATATAGTAAGTTGTGAGGAAAAACCCACTCAGATAACAATGATTAGCACCACAAAAGTGAAGGTTTCATTCCAGTAGCTATAGTGTAATTTTTGTCAGGGTTATTTGAATTGAAATGCTGATAATTTTCATTGTTCAGTGTTAATATCTCTTCAGAAGTAGAATTATTAGTCAGAAAGTTCATTTAGGAATTCTACAAACAGTGTTATACCTGAAAATTTTGTGAAGGAAGTAATTAAAATTTGTAGTCAAAATACCATTGTTAATTACTTCTTTGAGGGGCAATACTGGGCAGTGTCCAGATGGATTTTCTGAGTTAATAGCTAGGTATTATGTTAACACATTTTTCACTTTAAAGTTTGTCATTAATATTAGTTTTCTTTTGCACGTTTGTCTACTTTTTTTATCTGAATTTTCTTCTTATTCTTGGTTTCATAGTATATTAGTGAGTTTAGGAACCTTCATGAAAATGATTGCTGAATTCTTAATCTTAATTCCAAGTCTTTGCGATGTTTTATTATGGATAGAAATGTATTTTCCAAGGAAATTCCAAAATTTTGTTCTCAGTGTGATGTTTATTGTATTGTTATTTATTGTAAATTCTTATTGCCTGTAATACTGGTATATGCTAGCTTGTGATTTTTTAAAATGCTTGCTTACTAAGTTGTTCATCTTTCAATCTCATTAAAAACAACAGTGAAATGTAGTTGTACTGAAGTTGTCATCATTCACTGTTCCAGCCTATGCGGGATGTATTTTTTACCTCAATTGGGAGTGAAGTGGTAATCTGATTGGTAAATTTGCTGTAACTTGCTAATAAGAGTACAGATGGTGCTGCTCGCTTCATTGTGTCGCGCACTGAAAGAATAGTTTTATTTGATGTCAATATTTTGGTAAATTAAAAATTGACAGTGGTTTAGCATGGTCTATAGTCTTATCAATGATGATATTCACTTGTTGCACTCACTGGGTTGTGCCTTGTGAGTCCACAACATTCTGACCAATATGATGACAAGTGTTATGTTTTGTTTAATGACTCATCATTCAACATGAAGACCATGTCCTGTCAAGAATCTGGTCAAAACCTAAGCACAGCCATTCGAGCCAGGTATTCATCATGCAAATTAAGATGGTTCACAAATCACGTTTAATTCAGCTCTTCCTTCACAAGTCACGCTTAACTAGAAAAATTAGTTCACATGGACATGAAAAGTTCACTTGTTGCACTCACTGGGTTGTGCCTTGTGAGTCCACAACATTCTGACCAATATGATGACAAGTGTTGTTGATAAGAGAACAGACCATGCTAAGCCACAGTGGTTATCTCCTAATTTATTATTGGTGTTCAATTTCTTTCTTCCTGCCCTTCCTTACTTCTTCAAAAGACAGCATCTTGAGCAGTGAAAGTTTTTCTGAACCTCTTAATTCTTTTATTTATAATGCCAAAGGATGAAAAAGTAAGCATTTCTCCTCAAAGATTAGGATTTCTTTATTTACTGTTAACCCTATTTATTATAGGTTTCTGAAAGTGATGAGCCCTTAGATGCAGCAATCCGTTTATAGTTATTTGATATAACTATTGGAGATTGGAGTATTGCATTTTTTTTTCAGCAATGACATGAGAGGGTCCTGTATGCCCTTTGTAAAACTCAGTCAGGAAAAAATACTCAGCTTTTTCATGCATCACGAATAATATTAAAATTTCGTTCATGTTTATGCGAAATTTGAGACAATCACATTTGACATAAAAATGAAAAGTCATTAACTAATTAATATTTTTACATTTTTCTAGTCTTGGTCAGTCTTTGTGACAAAAGATGTAATCACTTATCTTATTTGTTCACAGACCATTAGTGGTCTGTTTAATGACTCATCATTCTACATGAAGACCATGTCCTGTCAAGAATCTGGCCAAAACCTAAGCACAGCCATTCGAGCCAGGTATTCATCATGCAAATTAAGATAGTTCACAAATCACGTTTAATTCAGCTCTTCCTTCACAAGTCACTCTTAACTAGAAAAATTAGTTCACATGGACATGAAAAGTTCTTACCATGTTTAGTCACCATTCACAAATGAGGAGAAAATAAAATCATGATTCCTGAAAAAAAAATTTCTAATCACGCTTCATGAAAAAGTATAGGGGACCTTCACAAGATATTAATTGTTCACTACTCTGTTCCATTCCATTGCTCAACAATTTGTCCTACGGCCTTCATTGGATCTTTTTACCATCTGGCTGGTGAAGAATGCACTATTTTATTATATTTTTGCTTGCTTTTTAACTAGCAGTTAGAATGTGTGTTAAGTAAAAAAGATTTAGGCCAGGTAGCTGCTCAGTTCAGTTTCAAACAAGGCTTACATGAATAAAATAAAACAAGTTTGTACAAAAATTTTTAATGGTCCTTGTTACATCATAATAGTAACTGAAATTTAACATAATCATTGAGTAACAAAAAAGCGGACAAAGAAACAAGCCCTGAATTTGGACATTAACTAATACTATACAATGTACACATCTTCTCTTGTAAAGGTTAATTATAAGCAAAAGTATATACAAGTCAGAGTGTTAGATCACTTAGGAACAGTTTTACTGGTCACTGGTACACGAAACCAAAATGCTAGACAGTGTTTTTAAATATAGAGTAAGAGTTTAACTTTTAACACTTGATTCTTACAACAGAATTACAAAGAAATACACCCTTCTTCTCAGACAATGTATACCTTGCAAGTAAATGAAACTGTGCATTCACTTACTTTGGACTATTTTGAGAGACATAAAATTATCTCCTCAAATGCAATATCTCTTAAGCGTATTTAAGGGGGCTCCCTTTCTCAACTAAACTGAGTAATATAATGAGGCAGGTTAAAGAGCTCATGAGTCCATTGACTTGCTGAGTGGTATAAAAATTTTGCAACGGTTTTAATTAGCACACTGGCATTAATTCTACAGAAGCAAATATTTGTGGTTCAAGATGACTGAAATTCCACTTGGTAACTAATGTTAAAATATCAGCAGTGAAAGAAAAGTGATGATTTAAACTCCTGTAGCTTGTTGAGTACTGATAATGTTGAACAATCTTCCTATACAACTGAAATTTCTTGTCATACTATCATCATAGAAACTACCTTAAGGCAGATAAAAGTTTTTTCTAGTACTTGACACAAAGCTACCTAGACATTAATTAATTTCACACAAACATCACATTATGGTGATTAATATATTTATTCTAAGTACTTGCTTAATAATTGATGGCATTTTACCTTGTTTGAATGACTACAAATCTTTGCCCAACATACCCAGTGCACAACAGAGCATGTGCAGTTGATGGTTTTAGGGGAAAACAAGGAAGAAAAGATCTTCACCCTTTTACTTCCAAGATCTCCTTAGTGATTCTCTTTACTGTCTGACATACAATTCTTATGATGTTAGTTTGGAGAATTTAGTAATGCCTCAGCCACAAATAATCCCTTAACGGATGTTTTTCTTTACAGTCGAGCCTCGATTACCAGGACTTGTTGGGACTAGATGAAATACTCTGGATAATTGAGGGTCCGGATAATCAAGAATATGAATGTTAATGAGGAACAAAAACTGATTTTATAAGAAAGCGACATTAAATTCTGAAACAAAACATTTACAAATTGTTTTAAAAAAAAAATATGGTCTACATATTCACTGTCTGTTGTGAATACCTCCACAAGTGTGTATTAACAATTTAAATGAATGAAACATGTTTTTACATTGGCCTAAAATGTTGAAGTAAGTCATTTTGTCTAAAAGAAGAACATCGCCTTTACTTCAATTTTCAACATTGTAGTTTTAAAAAGAATATGGCTATGAATCTTGATCATGACCAATAAATATTCATGACAAAATTTGGACCAGAGAAAAAGTCCAGATAATCGAGAAATCTGGATAATCGAGGTCCAGATCATTGAGGTTCAACTGTATTCTCATGACTTGTATGCTTAATATTGTTTTGATGTTGTAAGAAGAAATTCTGTCTTGAGAGTTTAAGAGTTAAAAGGAGTTATATCACAGCTTTGGTATTGTGAAACATCACTGACACCAGCCCTGTATTTCCTTGTTAATCATTTTTAAGTCCATCATCTACTATCTGTGAAAAAATAGTTGACATATTGCTAAAGAGAATGTAAATTCTGGATTAGCAAACTAATATAATTATTTTCATCCTACACCCTAACTGTCGCTCCCTCTTCCATATACATTGTTGCACCCTTTTTTTTTCTGTGAATGTACACCATTGGATAAGGGAAGGTGTGGTTTAATGTCTACTATACTTCAGAGAAATGGACAGTAACATTTCTTATTCCCTTGATCTCACTCCCAAAGAATAAGCCAGTCTATCAACATAAATCTTGGTTGTAACTTAAGTCTTAGTTATATGAACCTTTGAGAACAAGTTTTGTAGTCTTTTCAATTACCTTTCTGCTTTAGGAACAAAAATATTAATTGTTTAAAACTATTCCATTCCTGGTTTTCTACCAAAATCACAGAGCCCCTATGACATACTGCAAGACAGTATGACTTAATTTCATTTTTACATTGAAACATGCTTTCTATGACTTTCCCAGTAAGAATTACCACAGTTACTTTCATTGGTAACCACTTTCCTCTATTCCTCAGACTAAATTTAAACTAAATCTGCAGTACATGCATTCATTGACGATTAAATTTTATAAAAATGAATTTACAACAATAATTAATTTTAATTAAGCTCCTACAACTCGGAGCAAAGATCATCTTTGTGACCAAATGTCAACCATGTTGTCCAAACCCCATAAATAGCCATCCTCATGGTTGCCCTCCTCCCAAGCTGTTCTGTGATTTAACCACATTCCTTCTTGAAGTGGAGTGGTTTTTCCAAAATCGATCATCCACACACTGGCCTGGCCATCTGCATCATGGACAAATAGCAGAGAACTACCAACCACCTGGGGTGTAAACAGATACAACAAATATGCTTAATAATAACATAACATCACACAAACTATATGTCCTAAAAAATCAGAGACAAATTTGGAACATTTGAGAGTTTTGAGAGTGAAAAATGAAAAAATAAAAAAAGGCCGTTTGCATGATCATTTACAAATTTGTGCTAAATTCTTTACAAGAGAACCAAATTGAAAATGTTAAAACTTCCAAGTTTAGGAAAAAGGATCTTCAAGCATGGGTAGTAAACATTCAAATCAAATCACATGCAAGGCAAGAATGGCATTTCTCACTCACCTCATGGGAGCGAAAGAAGGGCGAAGACTCTAAAGTTGCTCCTATAGCTTTTAGTCTCCTTATATATTTTTTCTGAAAAGATAGTAAACAATAAATCATTATCAAATAATACACTCCCTC